TAGAAAATTTTTAAGTTTAAAATCATAATTAACATAACCAAGAATTTTGGGTTAAATATGATGAAATTTAATTTTAAGACAATTCTAATTAAAACGAAATTACATATATTATTTTTCAATCGTATTCTATCGAAACTGTAGGAGGGGCATAATAAACAACTGTGACTAAATTTAAATTTAATAATGGTTTAATTAATTTATTAAAACTTAAGATAGCCAAGTTTTTAACATTAATTTATAAGAAGATGGCATAGTGATTATATCAGAATGTATTATCAATCACGTTCATAATTTATTAATATCAACATACGAATAAGAAAAGTCTAATAAACTATCCTCTTCAAAAAATAATCTAAAATTAACAAATATATAGTCATATTAACAAAAAATAGATAAGTTAGATAAAGGATCTTTAAAAACTTTAATAAGGGTCCCTTATTGTACATCAGATTAAATAGTGAATTAAATTGTTAATTCTCTTGATGATCTTAATAAATAGTGTATATACTATATTAAAAAAAAAATTATTAAGAGATAGATGTTTTAATTGGAAATTGATGTAATAGATCAACGCGATTATTCTGAGAGCAAACGATTAAAAGGAAAATTGGCTTATATGCCTAATAATTATGAAGAGTTTTTGGATAAAGGAGGATATTAATGTAAAATGCATTCATAAAGGGCCACATATAAACATTTGATATAAGATCATTTAAATTAAAGCCATACCCTCTAACGATAATTTGATTTCAGATTATATAGAATTATGCTTTAAAGGTCCAACTTAATGCGAAAGAAGAAGATGAATTTTTGGAAATGACCTTTGTTATTATGGACAAGATGGAGGTTTGTGCGAAGAATGAGATCGAAATGATATAAGAGGAACTGGATCATTCTTTAAAGATTAGAAGCAGTTAGAATGTAAATAATGTTAAGAATTTTCAAGGTAGCTATTAACCTTTTAATTTATATCAATTTGGTACATTAAATTTAAATATTATAGGGCTATCCTTCTACTTTATAAATCATCAGAAGTATTGAAAAAACTAATAATTATTTGCATAATTCAAGGTCAGATAAAAATTTGTCAACATTTTATTCATATTAAATTAAGGTAACTTTAAAATATATTTAAATCAGGATTTTATTTAAATTATTTCTGAATTATTTATGGATTTTTTCTCATATTTTTACTATTATTTGCATCACTTTCTCTTCAAACTGTGTAAACAATCAAGTGATACATCATATTTTATGGCGAGTTATTTTGAATGTATTTTTTTTTGCTGAAATTCAAGGCATTTAGTTAATTTACAGTAGTAACTTGGTTATGTTTGTCTTAATTGTTGCTTGGATATTAATACATTATATTTGATCTAAAATTATATCCATTACAACAAAAACTAAATTTAGGACGGGAATCATTTCTTACAATTTTATATTTGTAAGATTTTTTGCAATTCTGGCTATTAGAAAAATATCAAATTTAGACTATATATCATGTGATGTATTCTTGATATATGGGTCAGATAGTCACATCTCATGAATATAAGGATTTGCAATTCCTAATCTGTATTTATTGGATTGATCGTACCCTTATTTCTGCTTCTAATATTGTATAAACAGTCTATTTCAAAATTCTTATTCATGTATAGAGAAAACAATGACAAGATAAATTTAGAAGATATGTAGGATATTGATTTAATGAATATATTCAATAAACTACTTTTGGGAAATGATCAAATTGTGGGGGAATACAATTATTATTATAATTTACTTTGAAAGTGACATATTTTTGAAAGCGACATTATTAGGGCTGTGTTTATTATTTTACTAATTGATTGCCTAGAATTAAGAATCCTTTATTCTTTAGAAGTTTAATGTATTGGAAATTTTAGAGTGGTCAATATTGTTTTACTGCTATATTTTTTTGAGGCTGTTAAATTTATATGCGAATAATTAAGTTTTGGGTTAAAACATTTTTTGACGTAATCCTAATTAATAATAAATTTTGAATAAAAATTAGATTAAATTGGTTTTGAACTCCCTATGGCAATAAAAACAAAAAATTTGAAAAATATCAAATCTAAAATATATTTTTATAAGACAAATTTTCTAAAAATTATAGTGTGTTATATCATCACCCATACCAATATCTGCAGATTAAAAATAAATTCAAGTTCATAGAAAATAAATTCTTAATGTATAGATGCAATTAAATTTAAATAAATATTTTTCTTCCAAATGATGATGGAGCTATTCAGGAAACTTCGAACTTTCGACATTTTTGGCTAATAAATTAGGCTAAAAGCATCCGGCTCATCAGTTTTTTAATCTCAAATTGGAGCCTTTATGACTTTATTACTATTTAGCATACTTACTTATTCAGGTAGTTTATTTATTCTGGAAATGAACAAACGGAAAAATGCAATTTTTAACTCTTAAGAAGCTGTTATTCAAAATAATGAAGTATTTATCTTTCCAAACATTTTTTAGGGATTCAGTTTTAACTCCACTGAACTCATATTTTCAGCAGGATTACTTGGTATTTTGGGTCAACCTATTCCAAATGAAAATAACAGAATATTTAAGATTGGATTTTATGTTTGCAATAAATCACTGAATGAAACAGATTGTGTTGTAATACTAGGAGAAATTTGTGGGGATAGAATTAGAGAAGCATCAAAAGTAAAAATAATAATTAATTTAGAAATTAAATATTGCTGAGGCATATGAAAATATAACTTATTGTATGAGTGAATAGTATATCAGAGAGAATCCTGAAATAAGAATTTAAGGATCAAATCGTTATGATAATTTTACTTTATTAGGAGCATTAATTGAAAGATGTTCAAATAGCACTGAAATAGAAAGTATAATATTATTTAATCTAGATTGTGCATCTAATGAAGAGATCGATAATTATATTACAAATGCCAATCTTTATTACTCATACTCCTTTCATTAATTTAACAAAGAATAAGATGTTTCTCCATATCAGTAAACTGAAAACATTGACCTTACTTCACTCTATTATAAAGTAGGTAAGTATATTAAAATTTATTTACAATACTCTTAAAGTTATCTTGAATATAATCCTTTCTATTTTTTTCCTAGATAAGTATAACATGATGGGGTTGAATACTAAAAGACAGTGACTGATAGTGTGCTTTATTTCTAGGATGCCAATACCTTAGCTAGAATTGAAGTGCATTTGGATGCTAAGAAGAAGGTTTGTTACATTACATATTAAACTTTAATGGATGTAGCTGCTAAGCTCGGAGGGTTATTTACAATCATAAGAGCTTTGTTGGATATCATATTATATCCAATATAATCGATTCTCTATAAGCTTTTTTTGATAAATTTCTTAATCAATCATTAGAACAAAGGTAACAATAAGGATATTTAATTATAAAAGTCTAAAAAATAGGACATATTGCTCCATTAACTAATAACTTCTTCAAAGAAAAGAGAATTTTATAATTAATAAACTGAATTAATCAATAAGTATTTGGATGTTAGACAAATATTAATTCATCCGATGTAGTTTACATAAAAAATAGAGGGTTTATAGGATTCGATAAAGAAAATTGATATCTTGAGTTCTAGATAAATTAAACTTATTAGCAAACAAGAAATGGATGAATTAGTTGTGCAAAGCAACAATGAAGAGTACCCAGATTGCAGATGTTTAAGCTATGGCACTATTAATTCTGAAAGCAAGATAAAAAATTAAGATAATTATGTCATTCCAAAAATGAAAATTTAAATTCATTGATGCATTTATTTATAATTTACAACATTATTTAAAAAGAAATCTCCTAGAATTTAATGGAATCATCTAAAATATTTGAATGTCTTTCTTCAAATTATCTTTCTATTAACTTCCATTGTCAAATTTGATTATTTTAAATAATTGTGATGAAACTACCAAGAAATTGCACCTAAAATTAGCTCAATATTCAAAAAAAGACTTTGATTAATGATAATAATTTGATAAATTCTTCTTTTAATATATGATGTGAAAAAAAGAATGAAATTATTAATAAAATAAATGAATTAGACAATTTCATTATATTTCTCATCAAGTAAACTCCCTAGATGTTCACCTTTGAGTAACAATTGGAACACGCTAACAGAAGACTATTACTTTTAGTATAAGTAGATCTATCTGTACAAGAGGTAAAACTATAATCTATTTTAATAATTTATTAAGTCTCATGCTTTAATGAAAATATTTTGATGTAGTAACAAAGCCTGAAATAATAATTAAATTTAAATTAATGAATTAAACTATTGAAAAAATCAAATCAAACAAAATTATTCTTTTCGAATTTCACGTGATTTGAAAAATAAAGAAGTAAAATTATTTGACTTAATTATGATAGTATGAATCTTAAAATATTAAAAATTGATATAATATATATACTCTGTAATTAATAAAATTCAACACATTAGTTATGGCATTTTTAATTTTCCTTCTTTGATTACTTAATTTAAATCTTTACCCTTGAGATTTTTAATAAGAGCTTCAATTTCAGGTAGATTTGGTTCAATATCAGCTTATTTCAGAACATAAGCAACATCATTCAGAGCTAAAATCATAGAATAAATAATTTACATGGAGACTTATTTCCTCCTAATAATAGTAAAGCGTAAGTAGCAACATAAGATGCTCTCACATTATTGTTCTAAATTTTTGGTTGAATGCATTTTGGCAAATAAGAATATTGATTTACTTCCTAATTCTTTTGAGTTTCAGCTTCCAAATCAAATTTCTCTACATCAAAACTTCTACAATAATCAACTATGTTGATGAATTCAGATTTTATAAAAGTAGATTAAGAACTTAATATTGTTATTCTTCTGAGAAACTCGTTTAACTTAGTTAGTATAAATTGATTCCTTTCTTCCAAATTTTCAAATTTCTGCTACTTGAATATTTTTTCCAGTTGTTCATCAATAATATTTTTGAACTCTATCAATAAGACTTTAATTTCTTAATTTTATTCCTTTTCTATTACTTATTTAAGGTCATCTAAGCTTTGGGTAACAACCTACCAAATAGATTAGACAAGATTTAGAGGTTTTTTTGTAATCGTAGATCTAACATAGCAACCCAGTTTTGTCTTATTTAGTTTATTCTGAAGTTTTTCTTTAACCTTCTCTTTAGTTAGATTTTCCTCTACTTTTTCTTTCGCAAAACATTCAATAAATTTAGAAATTTCTTACTTTTATTTCAGATGTTTTTGAAGCATAGTCATTGTAGATTCAGATAAATTTTGGGCTTTTAAAGTTCCATCTGCAAATTTATCAATTAGTTCTAAAAGAGGATCCATTAGTTGAAGTGCTTCCTGATCTTTATTATCATTACTGGCTTCCATTTTGGTTAAAAGTTGATCAGATATTACTTTTATTCTTTTAAAATTTTATTAGCTATTTTGATTCTTTGTTGCAGCACTCTCTATTATTTCCTGTGATATTGAATTACATATAAGTTAAGAAATATGATGAGGATTGTAAGTAGGCTAAATCTCTTCTCCATCTAAAACCATTTTTTTGTTGGTTCCATCTGTTTTATTAAGATACGATTCGCCAGGTGCAACCATTGTGGTAGTCTCTTTCGAAGCAATTGTTTAATAAACTGGCTAGTTAACTTGAAGGAGCTTTGATTATACATTCAGAAGCTGTTTGATTTAGTGAAATATAGTTGTGAATTCTTATTATAATTATTATTGAGAAGTGCTACGTCTTTAAACTTCGAAAATGGCAGGGCAGCTTGAGTTTTAATTATGGATTGCCTTTCTTAAAACATTAGATATTGTGTTTGGAAATGAATTTCCAACAGCTACACTTATAAATTAAATCAAGTATTTTTATTTCATTTATTCTATTAAATAAGTTAATTAATTAAAGTCAAAAGACTCCTGACCATCGCTAATGAATACAATTGTTATATTATTTTGGTAATAACTATTTAAAAGTTTTTAAAAAATCGTCTTAAAAGTTTCGGTGATATTTCCACTCCCTGCACTTCTAAATGGAAGGAAATCATATAGTTATTATTCCCATTAATATCTCATCTGCTATGATCCTAGGCAGGAAAAAGTAGCATTGTGAGCATCTACAATGGTTTCATATTCACCAGACATAGAACCAGTTCCATCAATAAGGGTGATTAGATAAGATTATGTAGATTTGCAATCCTTTGCCATATATGCTTCATAATTACAGCTCATTTTACCTTTTTTAATAATTTTATTTCAAGCTTTCATCTTGATTTTAATAGTAGTCTATTTCTATTATTTGTGATTTCTATTAAAATTTTTTTGTAGTTTTTAATTCTTTTTAGTAATAAATTAGTTTGAAAAAATAAAAATTTTTGCAAGCGATTGAATGGATTTTTATCATTATTCATTAACAGAATCATTAAATTCTCTACATAAGCAAATACTTGGAAAAGTGTTACAAATTTCAAGTATCTAGAGTCTAAGAAGAATTTAGAATTATGAATGTTGTATTCTGCTATTATATTCAAGAAAATTAATCGAATTGGTGCTTAAATTCTGGATTCGATTGATTAATTTAAAAAAGAGTTAAAATAAACCAATTAAAAGAATAAAATTATATAATAAAAGAAAATTTTTTAAATTATTATAAAACTTATGTTTCTGTTTTGAACTGAAAAATAATTAATATTTAATTTTTGAAATTAGATCAATATTCATTTANTTAGATGTTCCTCTACTTTTTCTTTCGCAAAACATTCAATAAATTTAGAAATTTCTTACTTTTATTTCAGATGTTTTTGAAGCATAGTCATTGTAGATTCCGATAAATTTTGGGCTTTTAAAGTTCCATCTGCAAATTTATCAATTAGTTCTAAAAGAGGATCCATTAGTTGAAGTGCTTCCTGATCTTTATTATCATTACTGGTTTCCATTTTGGTTAAAAGTTGATCAGATATAACTTTTATTTTTTTAAAATTTTATTAGCTATTTTGATTCTTTGTTGCAGCACTCTCTATTATTTCCTGTGATATTGAATTACATATAAGTTAAGAAATATGATGAGGATTGTAAGTAGGCTAAATCTCTTCTCCATCTAAAACCATTTTTTTGTTGGTTCCATCTGTTTTATTAAGATACGATTCACCAGGTGCAACCATTGTGGTAGTCTCTTTCGAAGCAATTGTTTAATAAACTGGCTAGTTAACTTGAAGGAGCTTTGATTATAGATTCAGAAGCTGTTTGATTTCGTGAAATATAGTTGTGAATTCTTATTATAATTATTATTGAGAACTGCTACGTCTTTAAACTTCGAAAATGGCAGGGCAGCTTGAGTTTTAATTTTGGATTGCCTTTCTTAAAACATTAGATATTGTGTTTGGAAATGAATTTCCAACAGCTACACTTATAAATTAAATCAAGTATTTTTATTTCATTTATTCTATTAAATAAGTTAATTAATTAAAGTCAAAAGACTCCTGACCATCGCTAGTGAATACAATTGTTATATTATTTTGGTAATAACTATTTAAAAGTGTTTAAAAAATCGTCTTAAAAGTTTCGGTGATATTTCCACTCCCTGCACTTCTAAATGGAAGGAAATCATATAGTGATTATTCCCATTAATATCTCATCTGCTATGATCCTAGGCAGGAAAAAGTAGCATTGTGAGCATCTACAATGGTTTGATATTCACCACACATAGAACCAGTTCCATCAATAAGGGTGATTAGATAAGATTATGTAGATTTGCAATCCTTTGCCATATATGCTTCATAATTACAGCTCATTTTACCTTTTTTAATAATTTTATTTCAAGCTTTCATCTTGATTTTAATAGTAGTCTATTTCTATTATTTGTGATTTCTATTAAAATTTTTTTGTAGTTTTTAATTCTTTTTAGTAATAAATTAGTTTGAAAAAATAAAAATTTTTGCAAGCGATTGAATGGATTTTTATCATTATTCATTAACAGAATCATTAAATTCTCTACATAAGCAAATACTTGGAAAAGTGTTACAAATTTCAAGTATCTAGAGTCTAAGAAGAATTTAGAATTATGAATGTTGTATTCTGCTATTATATTCAAGAAAATTAATCGAATTGGTGCTTAAATTCTGGATTCGATTGATTAATTTAAAAAAGAGTTAAAATAAACCAATTAAAAGAATAAAATTATATAATAAAAGAAAATTTTTTAAATTATTATAAAACTTATGTTTCTGTTTTGAACTGAAAAATAATTAATATTTAATTTTTGAAATTAGATCAATATTCATTTATTTTAATGCCAAGATTGGTTATTACCATAATTTTATGATTGTAAATTCAAAATATTTAAAAGGTTTATCAATATACATCATCACCTACGGAAATGATTGTCCATTAAAATATAATATAAGAAATTGTGAAACCAAAATATAAGATAAAACTTAATATAAATTTTAATTTTTAATAATTCTCCTTGCTCATGAAAAATGGATTCATCTTTGACAACCTCCTTACCTTAAATTTATAAGGGTTATTTAATAATTATTAGCAATATCATAATGTAAATTCAAAAAGAAAGGTAATAATTCATTAAGTATTCTGGAATTCAATTAAAATTTCCATTAGTTATAAGCAAACAAATATTATTATCATTATTAAATTTTGATTATTGCTAAATAAATTGGAAAATCCAATTCAAATCTCCTTTCAAATTATGATATACATTCTGAAAATTAGTTTTATTTCTCTTTCTTAAATATTAAACATTAGACTAAAGAAGTCAAAATAATAAAAAATATTAATATTCTGAAATTAAATTGCGCATTATTTTTTGTCCGAATAGCAAAGTTTAGTTGTGTTGACAAAAAAGGTATTTTACATCTGTAATTTTAAGTGAATTCTATTGTTACTATATTTAAAATTAAGCCTTTATCTAAATTTATATTAAAAGCATATTCATTTCAAATAAAAATAGAAAACTTCACTGAGACAGAATTATAATAATTGATAAGTATATTTGTCATATATGGACACATTATTTTCAGAAATTCCTGATTATTCACTTCAAGAATTGATTTTTAATATAATTTCTATACAAAGTAACATTAAATATATATCAAAGCCAAATGAATTAACTTTTCCAATCCTGCTTTTTTTATTGTTAGCCTGTTGGCTGGAGAATAAACTCTTCCACAATTGTTCTACTTAGAAGAGACTGAATGATAGTTAAAGGTGACTGTTAATTTTAAACATTTTCTTCTTCATTCAATTCATCTAATTAGGTATTCGTGTCAAATGGGTAAATTTTGGCTAATTTTGACAAAGGAGTAGTGAAATAATTTTGGATGGTTCATTTACTATAATTAAATTTGATTTGATTTTGGATATAATAACCTAATAATTAATTATATTTTATAACAAGAAAAAATATAAATTAAAGACAATTGTAATTAATTACAGCATTAACAAGACAAGAATAATTTAGGAAAATTCAATTTTTTTAATAGCTTTTTAATTTTGTAAATACAATAAAGCTGATAAATTTTGATTGGCTTGTAAATCGTTATAAGAGCTCCAAAATGATTACTCAATTTATGTATTCAATGCCCAGTTTTTCATTAATCACATAAATAAATACCTTTTCAACATTATTCATAATACGATAGATAATGTTTTTTAATTATTATTATATTGCAAGTGAATTAACGATAATTTCTTAGATTTATTTTATGAATAAATATAGAATATAATATTATCAATCTTCTTTAGACTTTTGAACAGTCATTACTTACTCAAAACATAGCTTCTTTAATTAGAAATATTGCGAGTAGAAGTTCAAAATTTATATAATTGAATAGAGTATGCTTAGTAATAATGTATTAGATTAAATTTGCTCCTTGTAAAATAAAAAAAGAAGGAGGCATCTGAGTTCGCACCTGAGACCTTTAGAGATGCAGTTAGGTGTTGAGCTATACTCCTATCTATTAAAAAGGATTGAATGAATTCCAATATCAGTGGTTAATTTTATTTTTAAATTTCTTCTTTATTAAATTTAATTATCTATTTATTTTAATCATGATAACGACACTTGCTTAAAATAATACTAGCTCGATACAAGAGAAGTTAATGGAGGAACGCAAGAGATGTATGTAATCTCAATTCAAATTTTAGTGATAACTTCTTTTGAATAAAAATTCTTAGGCGATGAATAAGCCCGCTAAGCTTAATATGCAGACCAAGCTACCTATAATGGTTAGATTAATGAGAAACAAAATAAATAAGGAGTAGGAAAATACTTATTCCCAAATGGAGATGTGTATTATTTATTGGTGATTATTTTAGGTACATTGGACAGTGGTCTAACGATCTGTTCAATGGAGAAGGCGTTTATCTTTTCAATAATGGAGAACGATATGAGGGACATTTATTGAACGGTAAAAAGCATGGCGTAGGTATCTACTACTATGCAAATGGCAATATGTATAATGGGGAATGGATCAATGATTTGAAACATGGAAAAGGCAAATATTCGTATTACTTACAAGGGGAATCTTATGATGGTGAATGGCAATATGGAGAAAGACATGGAAGAGGAGTCTACTTATACTCGCTAGGAGATAGATATGATGGTCTTTGGGAACGAGGACTCAAATGGGGTAGAGGAATTGTGGAGTTTGCATCTGGAGCGAGATATGAGGGTTAGTTTGCAAGTGACAAAGCCACTGGTTAGGGAACTATGATATATGTTAACAATGACAAATACGAAGGGCAATGGAATGACGGATTAAAACATGGCTATGGAGTTTATACTATGGCTGATGGATCCAGATACGAGGGAAATTGGATGAATGATGAAAGAGAAGGGCAAGGTCTTTTCCTCTATGCATCAGGCGATAAATATGAAGGCATGTATAGTAAAAATGTGAAGAGTGGATATGGAGTTTATATCGCTTCGAACGGAGATAGATATGAAGGAGAATGGGCCAATGATAAAAGGCAAGGGAATGGCACACTCTATATGGCCAACGGGGATAAGTACATTGGAGAATGGAAAGAAGGTGAGAAATCTGGTAAAGGTATTTACTATTTTGGGCATGGTGATACTTATGATGGTAATAAATCAACAACTAAATTCTAGGTTACTGGTTGGGTGGTATGAGACATGGGTTTGGTAAGTATTCTTGGAGCATAGGCGATTATTATGAGGGAGAATGGAGGTTTGATAAAATGAATGGTAAGGGGAAATTTAAAGGAGCTGATGGTTCAGAATATGTTGGGGAGTTTTCAAATGACAATAAAGTAAATTGATTTGTCTTATATATTGCTATTTTCATAATAATTATTGTTATTAAATAATTTAGTTTAATTCATCGATAGTTTAATCTTTCAAATTCATTATTTATTGTACTTCCATTTAGTTCTGCATGAATTCCTATTGAAATTCTTGCTAAATATTTTGGATTGTGAATAAATTCTATTGAATAACTTAAGATTGATTATAAATTTATTATCTCTATTGTTCAATTATTTATTATTATTATTCGCATTTTTGCTTCCACTCATCACATTCTGAACTAACTTAATTTTTTTGAATCATCAACTCATCAATAAATGATTTATATTTTTAAACTACAGATTTTAGGTTATGCTTCTACTCTATCAAACATGATTCTAATTGGGATTTCCTTAGAATATTTATTAACAATCTACATTTCAAATTTCAACTAAAACACTAGTTTTTTAAGTTCATGATTTTCCTGTCGATAATGATCAACACTATCGCAATAAGATTTGCAATCATCATTTGTGCTCAAATTGCTAAGATTCTAAACTCTGAAATAATAAATGACTTGATATACTTGTTTTCTTTATCTGTTGTTTAGATTNAGACATGGAAGAGGAGTCTACTTATACTCGCTAGGAGATAGATATGATGGTCTTTGGGAACGAGGACTCAAATGGGGTAGAGGAATTGTGGAGTTTGCATCTGGAGCGAGATATGAGGGTTAGTTTGCAAGTGACAAAGCCACTGGTTAGGGAACTATGATATATGTTAACAATGACAAATACGAAGGGCAATGGAATGACGGATTAAAACATGGCTATGGAGTTTATACTATGGCTGATGGATCCAGATACGAGGGAAATTGGATGAATGATGAAAGAGAAGGGCAAGGTCTTTTCCTCTATGCATCAGGCGATAAATATGAAGGCATGTATAGTAAAAATGTGAAGAGTGGATATGGAGTTTATATCGCTTCGAACGGAGATAGATATGAAGGAGAATGGGCCAATGATAAAAGGCAAGGGAATGGCACACTCTATATGGCCAACGGGGATAAGTACATTGGAGAATGGAAAGAAGGTGAGAAATCTGGTAAAGGTATTTACTATTTTGGGCATGGTGATACTTATGATGGTAATAAATCAACAACTAAATTCTAGGTTACTGGTTGGGTGGTATGAGACATGGGTTTGGTAAGTATTCTTGGAGCATAGGCGATTATTATGAGGGAGAATGGAGGTTTGATAAAATGAATGGTAAGGGGAAATTTAAAGGAGCTGATGGTTCAGAATATGTTGGGGAGTTTTCAAATGACAATAAAGTAAATTGATTTGTCTTATATATTGCTATTTTCATAATAATTATTGTTATTAAATAATTTAGTTTAATTCATCGATAGTTTAATCTTTCAAATTCATTATTTATTGTACTTCCATTTAGTTCTGCATGAATTCCTATTGAAATTCTTGCTAAATATTTTGGATTGTGAATAAATTCTATTGAATAACTTAAGATTGATTATAAATTTATTATCTCTATTGTTCAATTATTTATTATTATTATTCGCATTTTTGCTTCCACTCATCACATTCTGAACTAACTTAATTTTTTTGAATCATCAACTCATCAATAAATGATTTATATTTTTAAACTACAGATTTTAGGTTATGCTTCTACTCTATCAAACATGATTCTAATTGGGATTTCCTTAGAATATTTATTAACAATCTACATTTCAAATTTCAACTAAAACACTAGTTTTTTAAGTTCATGATTTTCCTGTCGATAATGATCAACACTATCGCAATAAGATTTGCAATCATCATTTGTGCTCAAATTGCTAAGATTCTAAACTCTGAAATAATAAATGACTTGATATACTTGTTTTCTTTATCTGTTGTTTAGATTCTTTTTTTATTAAATTTGTTCAAATAGGAATTTTTTTTGTCTGGGGTGTGAGTAGTATTAATATACATTTTTTAAATTTTAGATGTCTGTTAATATAAAAATTAGTATTTTATATAAATGATAAAACTTTGACATGACTTAATCAAGTTAAAGTTGATTAAGTTTCATCTATTTTATGATACTCCTGCCTGGAATGTTGTTCTGGATTTGTAATCATTAATGCATTACATTAATAAAGATTCTTTTTAGTTAAATTATTTCTATTAAAACTCTCCTAATATCTAAAAGTATATTATAACATTGGATAATTGTAATTAAATACCATCTGTAATTGCACTTTCGAAAGGTATGATAGATAAAATTCATTGATATATTGCAAATGAAATAACCTTATATTTCAATAGAATTGAGTGTTAATTGGAAATTCCTGATATGTTCTTAAATTCATTGACAGACATTTAATAATCTAGCAATAATAATTGACAATTTATTTTAGTATTCACTTTTTATAATAAATTAAATTGATTAGTTTAAATGGCCAACTTGCTCATACTCAATAGATATACAAAAGTGCATGATATAATCTATAAGATACTTAGGCAAATTATAAACAAGATGTTCTAATTAGATTTGCATTAATAATAATCATGGATTTAAGTTATGAAAATATAATTAATGAATATTAATCAATCCATAGAATTAAAATAATGATAGTATGTGTATTTTATATTTTCATTTAATATTATTAATATTCTAAATAAAAGGAATAGCTGTAAAATTTTTTTGAAGATTGCTTTTTGGCTATCTAATTTCTTTGGATTATAAATTTGGCAATCTAATTGGCCTAATATTTAGTAAATTGAGTACTGAGTTGTTCGAAAAGTCTTCTCTTCGCCACTGCTTTGACTCAGTTGTTGGATTAGGTTATCATAAATCTACTTTGTCAACACTTTTGGAGCTGCCATTGATGAGTTCAAGGAGGATGGCTGTTATCCAAAACTATCCAACTTATTTTTTAATTCAACACTTAATTCCATTAATTTTGAGACATTGGTTTCGAAGTTGTTAATATGTTTATTCTATAACTCCTTATTTATACGATTAAGTCGTTTATTCTCCTTCTACAAAGCTTATAATTTCTATTCGTACTCTGCTTTCACACTTTCCATCTCTTGTTTTAAAGTCTGTTCTTTATCCATTGTCGTTGATGATAAACTAATGAGAAATAATTGTTCTTATAGGTTTTGATTGTCCCTTCTAAGCTATATTAATTCTTATTAGACTATTTCCAACCTTTCTTCTAATGATTAAGTTTAGTTTATTTAAACTGCTGCCTTCTCCAGTTATCGCTGAAGACTGTATACAAGCAAGGTTAGTCTTTAATTTTCATCAGTTAGTTTTGAGTTCAGATCAATAAGGTTATCTTTCGTAATATGATTCATAAATATTATTATTCAAGACAATCATTTTATCTTAATTTGATACAAGCTTATGATAATAGCTTTATAAAATAATGAATAATCATATTTATATTCTTAGACGTAATTACTGAAGAGAATCAAAAGGCAGACTTTTATCAAATGTGATATTCATGTTTGGAATGAATTAAATATTTATTCGGTCAGAATTCTCTTTGATTTTTCTTAATTGTAGTTCTTAATTAAATATGTAAATGAATAATTGCAAAAAATAAATTTTTTTCGTAACCCTTAGCTTAGCAAAGAAATCCGATGATATTTCAATTTCATAGTACATTTGTCACAAAATTCGAATTATTTAGTAGTATTCAATATCAAAAAACATTTGAAGAATTATCATGTTTGCAGATTGCAAAAAAACAAAGAATTTAGGGTGTTGCTTTTAATAAAATAATACCAGCTAAATTTAATTGGCTATCCTTTTGTTGGTACAATAATTTCTAAATTGGATACAATCTCTTTTTTAAGGATTTTTTAAACTAGTATGGAATTATAAATTTATACCACTACTTATCATAATTTTACGATTTGGAATTTCATATCCCAATCAATTTAAACAGTAAAATCATACTTATCAGTTAGTTTAAATGTTATTTTTTAATTCACAAAATTAAGTTTTGTTTAGCTTATATATTAAAGTGACAATTTTGGAGAACAAAGACTAATGAGATTAATGAAGTAAGATAGCCAAATGATTTTTACTTTTATAAAATTGTAAAGCATTATTATAAAATGAAATAGTGAATTAATTTGATAATTTAATTTATTAGATTGAATTAGATTAAATTGAATATTAAATATAATAATTCATTATTTAATCACATCACCAGTTTAGCATTCACTCTCAAATGTGTATTAAGCTTAAGATGCGTTATTTCCTTAATGTATTCTTTTTGCACAATCCATTGTAGTATTAGATAAATAATTATCTTGTTGTTATTTTAGATCACCTCTAGGTATTATTTGGGATTATGATTATGCCTTTTTCATATCTCTACCAGAGGTTTAACCGCTTTTGTTTGGTTGAGGACTTGATTTCTCAATTTTTAATCTTTTTGATCTACTCGTTAGATAAATTTTGACATTTTAAAAATATATTTACAATTCTTCTATTTCCTTTTTTGTGGGTTAATACCATTTAGGCTCATTAACAATACAATTTTAAAAGAATGCACTCAATTGGGCAAATTTTTTGACTTATGGTGTTAGTTTAATGTATTCATTTAATAATTCATAAACTTAGATCGATTACTATTAATCCATTTGTTAATAACAATCTAAGAATTATCGTACAAACCTATTAACTAGAATATTATATGGAATTACCTTTCCAACATTAAATAGAGTGCAATAACATCATTCCACAATAACAAATAGATTTCCATCACTATTGTTCTGTTGTGAGTCTAAAAAACCTGTGCGTAGAACTTATTTCAAAAATATTTGTTTACTTCATGTTATCCTAAGATGAGATTGAGAGCGTTAATCATTTTATAAAATTGCATCACATTAGAATCAATATCCTTAACTAAAATATAATAATTCAGAGTTAATTACATACGACATTAGCGTTGGATTTCATTTTACTCTTTGATATAATTTCACTGATCAAAGCTAATTTTTGTATTATCATTGTTTATACAGAAGAAAACTTACTAAAAGTGTCCTTTTGTTCCATGTGTTACCAACCAATCCATCCAAGGAATTGTTGCACAAACAGTCTGCCATGTTTGATATCACCCATTAAGACATGGATTGTTAATAGCACTTTTAATTTCTTTGGACTTTCCAGTTATTAAGGTATGAGACGTATGAATTCTTTGAATACTTAAACAATCGTCATGCTCTAGACTAATTGATCCTCCTCTTCTTTAGATGGGTAACCTTTTAAGTTGTAATATACACCTACCTTATAACATTTTTTTAATGTCTTCCAAATCAACGGTTTCTGAATTATCGTAGATTGTGCTCTCAAATAGGTACTTCTAGAATCTAGTTTGCTTCTTGAACATATTCTTTAGAAACATTTAAGTTTATATTTTAATATAATCAAAATATTTTATAATTTGTTTAGCTCTTTCAAAGTTTATTTAATTTGCATTAAATCTTAAAATTGTATATTAAATTTATTCATTCTTCGATCTATTATTGCAACAACTATGTCTTTAATTACTAAGCAAGATCCTCAATTTTTTGTTATAATAATTCAATCTATTTGGTACGATCATCTTCATCCTCAGATCTGATTGGAAACCAACTTACACTTTCAGATTGAACCTTATCCATAATCCAATACTCTAGTCCAGTGTATTCCGTTGAATCCTTATTTTACAGACAATAAATGTAGAAAACATAATTCCATAAGAAATGCTTACTCTTTATGTGCTCTTCAAAGTCTTCTTGTTGTTTTTCAAGTGTTTGCCTATCAATGCCACAAATGAAACATTTGTTCTTTTTATCATCCTCTATTTGGTTTCTTTGATCTCTCAATTACGCAAAAGTATCAGTCATTATACCTGAGATGATATTGGTAAACAATAGTGCAAAGAACACGAAGTAAACTGTATCATAGATGAATTTCAAGGGATCCCATTATGCCATTGAACTACCAATCACTCCCGAAGTCATCAAAGTGATCATACAACTTATTAAACTGTGACATGGATCATCAACTTATTCTGGATATATGTCATCCACATAATTATTGAATCCCACTATACTGAATACAAATTAGAACAACACTCCAAGCAAAGCTACCAAAGATAGTTATTTTGCATTGTGAGATATCGCTTAAAATACACTTTGCAATAATGATAATTATCCAAACAAATAGAATAAATGCAATGAAAAATAATATGTATTTGAAATTAACCCAATAAATGCAATTGCAGTAAACGATATGTGAGACAGGAAATCTTCACTCTTGAACACAATCACTAAATTAGATATCTTGGATATTATGTAGGTGTGAATCTTAGTCAAAGAGAATTACTCTTATTTGAGTTTCTTGAATTCCAATGATGCCCTGCTTATTATGTAAAATGTACATGCACATAAACTGAAGCCAAATTACAATAAGGATAAAATAAACAATGTTGCCTCTTCATAGTCATCTGTCACTAAAGTTGATTGCTTATCTTTTATCATTACTGCATATGCAAATATCATAAAAATATTAATGAATAATGACAATAATTATGAAATATTTATTAATAGTTGAATTGTCTTATGTGTTATTGGTAGAATCCAATTTTATAAACTAAAATTATAACTGATTTCGCTGAAAATCATCTCCATTTCCTCTAATAAAGATATCAGTTTCTTTCTCTATGTGTCTCTTGGTATTTTGAACATTATTTTATCCCTGGTTTCATCACTTAAAAATTGAAATACTGGATGAGCAGGGAAGAATACCATTTAATATTCATTCTCATAGAAAATTTCAATCTTTCTTAAGTTATTCAAACACATAGTCTAAATATCTTTTAAAGTTGGATTGCTCTCAAATTCCTACTTAAAATGCTTAACCCACTTCTAATCCTTACTAACATATTCTATTTTCTCTTTTATTATGAACACATTCAACATTTGTTAAATCTCATCAGAGAATCTAGCCTCTTTCTTAAAATCAAATATTTTCTCAATGCCAACCTTCTAAACAATTAATTTTATGAAATTAACCAAAAATCTACAGTCCAATTTCTATTGTAATTCCTCGTAGTTTTTTTGGTTATTCCCTTCTAGCACCAACATAATTGATTGAATAATCTTTGCTTATAATTCAAATAACTCATCCTATTCTTCTGGAGTATGGAGTTCCCTTTGAATTAATTGGCTTTCCTCCTTTTAAAATGTTTCAAATGTAAAACATACATCTTCCATATATGTTGACTTACATAAAGTGACTTAATTTAAAAAGCAAGGCAATTGAATGACTTCATTTATAAAATCGACTATTTGCTAAGTTATTGACACTACATTCTTATTCAGTATCTTCAATAATATTCTCAATTCTTTAGTGGCAAACTCTATAAAGTTAATACTATTGATATGGACTGAATCTTCCTTATCGGTTTATTCCCTTAGGTAGTTTTTCATATGAACATTATTGTTCTCACACATCAATTACAGCATTCTAAATGCTCTCCACATCACTTTGATTGATAATTATCTATTCTTTATAGTATTTTAACTCTCAATGGCTGATGGCAGTGTCCGTTTTAGAGTTTCAGTCTTTTCACTAAATTAAGTTAAGTTATCCACATAAACAATAGATAGAAATGGATTCTATTTATCTTTCTAAAATTTAGACTTTTGAATCTTGAAATTAGTATTAACAAATTTGCTGAACTTAAGAATAGATTATTGCAAATTGCTCATCATTTAATTGGATGAATCCTATTTCAACAATTGAAGCAAAGAGTCTTAGCACTTAGTGTTACCTCCTAATAGAAATGCATTTGAAAATATTAATAGTTAATTGAACAACTCCCATCTATCATCAAAATTTTCCTTAAACATCTCATAAATCAATTGAGCTGCTCCACATCCAGCCAAAAAGCATTGTATTTCTTGAATCTATTATCTGGAATCACTCCAAAATTCAGGTTCCCATTCATCTATTGCCAACTTTGCCTATTCATCTTAGCTGTTGATATTGGGATTCTTTTCACTTATCATTCTAGTTAATATTTTCAAAAAGTAGCTTCTCAAATCATCATTCAATTTATGAGTGATATTCATCTAGATTAAATTCTTTAAGAATTCTTCCAAAGTTATTGCTGGATCTTAAGTTTGATAGGCATCCAAAGAAAACTCATCGATTTTTGTGAATTCACTACAGAGTTTATTAAACTCTTATTCGATGAATCCTTAAAACTCCTCATTCTCATTGAATATTTTAATTAACTTCATCAACCTAATATTCAATTCTACATTGTTGTCAGGTTCTTCTATTACTGAAAGTCTTTTTTTGGATTTCAAATGGAAGATCCTCTTTAGTGTTTGTTAAAGATTCGATTGTATCTTTTCATCCTATGACAATTTCGTTTCAGTTACAATTAGTAATCTATTTATTATGCCATCCTATTCATTCTACTCATTTTATTCGGTATCCTATTTCTCTTCTTATTTTAATGTAGTTTGTGATTCACTAGCATTCTCATTAAATATCTTTTCTAATCTCAACAACACACTATTGTCAAAGGTTCTAAACACTATTTTCATTATGTTTATCAGCACTTGGCACAGATGAGTTATATGACTTGATTTAAACCACATTTTTTGAATCTAAACTAAATGACCTGCAATCTTGAATAACAATTGATGGATCTTAAGAGTGTCAATCTCTTTGCTTAATTATCCTTCCAATTCGGATAAGAAGTTATCATTTAAAAATAACAGATTGATCGAGTATAATGTCTCCTGCATACATGCAAAGATGTAGGAGAACATAAATTAAAATCTAACACCATCAACGATCTATACTTGTTTTATATAATTGCACCCTTTCAACAATAGAATCTAATCTAATTGATGTCGAATAATCTATAATTAGTTTCAATCTTACCTCTAAATCTTCTTAGATGCTAAGCTAACTGATCAATTCCATCTGACTATTATAATAAAGACGATTGATGTAGCTTCTTAAAAAGTGCTACAATGGCCAGCAATTACTTTTATACGAATTCTTTAACAAAAATAATAAGGAATGATAAGGGTGCATGACTCGACATTTCTCCTGATTAATGACATTACTAAATATATGTCTAATAATTATACTGATCTTCAACTAATAAACTGAATATTTCAAAGTGAATAATCATGTATTATAGTTGCGGTTGCATACGGATTAGCTTTGTCTCCTCTATCTTCTCATAATTAGCACTGTACTCGTCAATTAATTCATTAAAACTCTCAGCATCCCAAGCTTTGGACTTTTGCAAAGGCGTTTCTGGTTTATTTATAGAATCAATTAAAAAATCAGATTGCAATTCATTGAGAACATAAATTAAATTCCTGTTTTATTTCTGCTGCAGCAAAGCTAGAATCTGCAATTGATTAAATTTGATTGTCTTATTGTGATCATACAAGAAAACTCTCAGTGAATCAAACAGCTTGACCCTGTACATACTATCTGGCTTTTCCTTATTCATTTATTGAATGATAGATCCAATAGCCACAGATACTTCATTTTCATTGTATAGTAATTCTTTGTTGTTATGGTAGAGTTCTCTAACAAAATCAATGCAGCAAGAATTGTATTGCAAATGACAATAGATTTATTTTAATGGCCATTTTATTTCAATCTTATTGGTTGCATGATTCCAAATAAAAAGAGTCAAGAATTTGTAACAAGAATTCAACAGTCCCTACAAATATGGGTTTATTTCATCTGCTCCAGAAATGTAAGCCACTAATGTTTGATGCATATCCAATGCTTTAAATAGAGTCTAATTTGTTTTATCATTTTCTTCGCACTCGTTAAAAGCCAAGGAAATTTACACTACCTAACTTGGAAATCTATGCAATTTCAATGAAACACACAACTTGTTTAGATCTTCAATAATCTCATCCACCTAAATGTTTGAAGTACTTTGATTCTCTTTTGTTATAGTGTAAACATTCTTATCACTCAATTGCTCTAATCGTTATCTGATTTGAATGCATTTGCTAATCAATTCTTTGACATTTTTTTGACAATTTTTCGAGAGTAAAACAATTTAAGAGAAATGCTTTATTAATTCTCTTCTCTGACCAAGCATCCTATTAAATAATTATAAAGCAGTCTCTACCATCTTTGGTTCCTGCATCAAAGAAATTTCAGCAAAAACCAAAATCACATTATTATTGAAATTTTTGAATAAATTTCTATTATCTAATAAATCTTTAATGACCTAAATCCATTAAGGAATGTTATAGGAATCTTATTCAGTTTTGTCTTTAGAACCACTCAAACTTTTAGCAAAGTCTTTGAATACTGAACTATTGTTGTCTAATAATTGTTATTATTCTTCAGGAGGTTTATGTGAAAATCTATGCACAAGATCTACCATTCCACTGATTAATCCCTTTTTGGGAAGTGTATTGTTCACCGATTCGTTTGTATCATCACTTTCTCTCTTGTTTCTGAAATAAGCTACCATTTAATTTATCCTAATATCATTTTCTAAATCCAGAATGTTTAAGATGATATTGGATGCTAGCATCTTGCATTCCATAATTGGTTTATTCTCTTATGATACTTTAGTCATTCTATATTTTGCTTTTTTGATATTCTCTTCTCCCTTTTAATCTTCTAAACTTTAGAAATCCTTTTGGCAAGAACATATTCTCAGCAAATCTTATAATAATTGCATAGTATCTATTTCCAAATTCATGGTCAATAATGTTTTTATAATCATTAATACTCTTTACAGAGTCTAATTGTATTTCTGATCATAAGTAAAATGAGTAAATTTAGTGATAAATTATTGGACATACTTTATGATATTGTTGAGATCACTCACATTTTATTAGGCCAACTAATTGTTATGCCCTCCAAAACTACTAAATTTTCTCATGGATGTCCTTTTCTCTATTTATATTAACTCATTCTCCTCCCAATCTATTACTTTACTAATCACAAGGGATTGATACCCAGGAGTGTCTACAAAAGCTAAATGAATAACCTTTAAATAAGATTCAAATGTATTTATGGATTGGGAATGATTATCTTCAACCAAGGCCAATAAAATAGAAATTGATATATTTTCTTTAACAAAATCTTATGATAATTTATTTCGGTTATAACACACATCTCCTAAAAGATTGAAATAGCCTTAGAAGTAATTCCAAGTTTATAGCCCATCGTATTCTTGACTTTCTTAATATATCTAACGTATTCTTCTCCACATGGGTTTTAACTTATTGATTCTGCAAAGCACTTCAACTTTGTTTTTGGTATTCAATCTAAATTTGAAATTCAGCAATTCATTACTTTGGAATACCAATTTTAAAATTAAATTCTGATTTTTTAATATAGCTCTTCCTTTGCAAACACAAATACTACTCAAAATGGATAAATATTTTTCATTAGGATTTTATTTCATTTTTTCAAATACTTTCTGAATATGATCATCAGTTACAAACCTTTGAATAGATTCATAATTATCTTCTAATAACTCCTTCAAACTATCCTAGGCTCTTGCTTCATCATCCATAGCCTATTCTAAAAAGTCCTTCAAATACTTTCCCATATCTTACTTCAGTTATTTGTTATTTTACGTTAACTCCTTGATCAATTAGTAGGTTAATTTGAATATTTTCTTCATCTTTTTTTGTAAATTCTTAACATCAATGCCATACAACTTCTTTTCATAAATGGGCACTAAGATTTTCATTGCCAAATCAATGATATACGTTTCTTTTATGCATTATTGGCGATTGGCTACCTCAAATTGTAAGAATTGAATCAATTGTTATATCACTTCGACTACCTAAGATAATTATTAAACATGAAGCAATTTCCAAATGACATCAACTTGTTTATTCAAAATCAAAACAAATTAAAAAAGCACCTCCTGAGCTGACAAAACAAACATTAAATTATTTTTTATGTTTCCCTTAACCTTTTTGATTTAAAAAGCATGCTAATGTTCTTTTTCCTCAAAAGCCAATTACTTCTTTATCGTAGTCGTCTCCAATTCCTCATCCTCTTTGATGCTATCATTCCATTAGTCCTCAATTTAAACATTCTATAATATTTCCTTATCGATAGACATTTGTATATAGGAATTCTCTACAATTTCCTGTTAACCTTATTTTGCAGCCAAGATTTCGACCACCTAATTGGTTTCCTAGATGTATTCATGCAATTGAGGCAGTTAATCTCGAGATGTAAGTACTTTACCCGAGATGTAGTTTCGAAGAATGAATTCTTACTAAGGGATTTTCTTATTGACTTGGGATTATGCTTATTATTATTAATCGACGACACTTCTCTATCTTGGTGCCACTCTTGAAAAATCCTTCAAAAAGTCACAGCTGTTTTAGAAGACTGAGCCTCTTGAGTTTTCTTTAATAAGCTATGGTTGTTGATTGCGCTTATAATCACAAATGGGTTATATCACTTGCAATTCCCAAATGGCTGCCAATGGAATGTGTGTCCCTGCTTGTTATAATGAAACAATCTATTATTCTCCATTCAAATACGTCCCATCTTCAGTGTATTACAAATAGATTAATTCGTAATTCCTTATGGATTTCTTTTCGATTCTCTGATCATTCCGCATAAACAACTTCATTTTCCAACTAGTCTTACTGTTATTAGTAATGATCACCTAATATCTTTGCACATCCTTTAATCTCTTAATATAAGCCAAACAACTTTCGTCATCTAACCATTATATGGGTTTTTCAATAAAATCCAAACAAAACTATTGCTTGGTATTGACCAATAAGAAGGGTTCATCAAAATATATCGGTTGGCCGTCCTTCTGATATGTTTGATGTGCTTCTATTCTAAATAATGCCTAACTGGAGGGTTTACTGCTTAGACTGACTTGAAATGCTTCCATTGACTATTCCGAACATTTGTAAGATCCGACTAAAAAGTATTCAGAGTCATAATGTTTCAATACTATTTCTTAACCAAACAGAACCTCCTCATCAATTTTTGTTTCAACAAAGGAAAAATATTGGTTCAACTCTGTTTTCAATCGTTAATCCAGGAGATCCTGATTTGCTCTAATATTGATAACTCTTTATCACTTACTTCTTTTGAGACTTCATAAACTCGTCATGAATTTCGAAACTCCCCTTGGGAAGCACTTAAAATAAAGACTCCCGAAAATTGCTTATCTTGGACAAATTAGTGTAAGTCATATAATAAACGTTAGTCTGGGTGTATCTATCACAATTATGCGATAACCATACCCTTTCGTTACTATCATCCCGAAATCCCCCTGAATTCTTACAATTTAGCCATATCGAAGATTATTCATAATATTAAATTATTAAATCACATAAATAGTTGAGTTTTTTCTCACTTCAAGTGTTTTGGAATTCAAGAGAAGGGTGTGTTAGTAGTTTGATTTATCAGATATGGACCCACCATAATTTTGAAATGCTTATATTACATTATATATTTTTAATTATAATTTTTTATTCAAAAATGGATGAAGATTAAGATGTATTTACTTGATTTTGTAAGTCTTAGCATTTTGTGGAGGACGATGGAAGTGATGACGACAAGTTCGAAGAGACATGGAAGAAACAATATGAAGTAAACGAGTTGTTAAATACTTTGTAATAGATACTTCCAAAAAAGTAGGACAAAAGACCTGAATCCAAGCATGGAAGACCTGAGAGTTCCAAATTTACTTAGAAAAAGTAAAGTTTGAACGATAACACCATACCGATTTCTGTTGCCTTACAAAAATTCAATTAGTTAGTTACATTTAACAATATTAAAATTGAACAATTTTGGAAGTCAGATTCAGTCAATGCCTCTCCAGAAGAGTTTGTAACATTTCTTGGTTAGGCAGGTTTCCATATCTCCTAAATTTAATTAGGTTTCACTTTCACACAAGAAGAAATCAATCAAGTGTTGAGCGATTTAGAAAATGAATTCGGAAAAATCACTATTGAAAATATCTGTAAAAAGGTTTAAGCTTGGAATTCCAATGAAAGTACCTCATTTTTTAACTTAACTTAGACACTATGCTTGAATTCATTAAAGAGAAAGCCTTGCACATGGCATAAGCAAGCAAAAGAAAATTCTCAGCCCAAAAGAAAAGCAAACCCCAATCTGCTTCTGCCACAAGAACTGCTCCCAAAGATTTCAGACCTATCAGTGGTATCTCTTACAAGAGTAAACAATCAGGATTTACTGAATTCAAAATGTAACTCATATTACCTAATATCAAAGTGGTGAAGAGAGACCAGTCCAAAATCTCTCCAAGTATTATCTTTAGAAAGCCAAAGAGAGAGAAAAAGAAATGGATAGGTTACTTCAATTAACCATTTCTAAAGGGAAAAACGAATACGAATATGAGATGCTTATTAAAATGGGAGAGGCCAATGAATTATCATAATTGCTAGAGAGCAAAATCACCTATCGAGCATACAAATCAGCATAAGGGAATCTCAAGGTTCATATGTACGAACTGGATCGATTCAATAAAGACATGACATTAGAGGAGTTCTAAAGAGAATACAATATGATAAAGAATAAATATAATGAGAGAAGAAATCTCAAAATATGGGAAGTGCTGTCAGAGAATAAAAAGAGTCAAAAGAGCTTGTAACATTTTGGCACTTAGAAGGACGAGATTCAATAGGATTCTTAGAATTAACATCAATCAAAGGTTATTAATAAAAAGGAAAGACAATCTGAATTAAAGAAGGTTCTTTTAGAAACTATGATGTTGACAAATGTATTGAAGGAGTAGTTGTCTGTGCTCTAAAAGAAAGGTATAGTGATTTAATAACCCTCGATGTGAATTAATATTAATATTATTATAATTTATATATGAAAAGTTTTCAAAAGGGTTATCTAGAGCTCAATTAGATATGGCTGAGCAGATAGTATTAATCTTCTTTAAATTAGAGAATATGAGGCTCATTAAAAACGATTGTTAAAATAACGTAAGTTAACCCCTCCTCGAGATTCTAGGATATATGAATAAGTGAAGAAAACTTAATTTTTGAATAATAGAAAAAGGGAGCTCATGAAATGGCAAACAATTTAGGAATAGAATTCTTAAATTTTGGCCAGGTTAGTAAAAATTAGCAACCGATCTCCAACAGTAATTAATTATATTTATTTTTTATTTAGCCTCCTAGTTAGAGTGGAACTCCAAGAGGAAGGAGAGCTTTGAAAGAACAAAAACTCAGAATAGAAAGTGAGAATAAAAGATTACATAATAAATTAAATGGAATGTATGATTTCTCATTTTAATGATAAAGTTAGTCAGATTTGAGGTAGGAAAAATTTCAGGAATCATTTATGAAACATAAGAAAATCTAAAAAAATATGCAAAGATTTTACTTTGATCCCAATTTACATCAGATAAAGTTACGAGTTGATGCATTCTTAGACAATGTGAATTCGTAAAGAATACATGAACGATCCAAAAGTCAATATTAGAATTCGAAATCGTCAAGATTTGATCATTCACCCTTTATGAAATTTAGAACTGTAAGTTAATCTTTTTTTAAAGTTAGGGAGTGATGTTGTAAAAATTCTGATATTTCATTACTAGTATAAATGAGAGTGAAAGTGTATTTTATATTTTATTAATTTTTTACATATTTTTAAGAATTTATGCTTGATTTTATTTTGAAAACATATAGATAACAATATTCTCAAACAAGTGAAAATTAATTTGCTTATGATTTTATTTTATATCTTTAATATTAATAATAATTGAACTACCTTTATAATTAATTAATGATTATTAAATAAGATAAATTTTAATCTGCATCAGTGCACAATGGCTTTTTACTTTATCTTCTCACTAATAACAAAGCTTATGGTATATGGACTCTTTTTATTAAATTTTTAGATCCGATGTACCTTAACATTATTGTATCTAATTTAATCATAAAGTACTTACAAACTGATGATAAATTCAGGATTTTAGTATGGGTAATAAAATAAGTAATTTTAGGCTTTGTCTAGTTCAGTTTTATCATCCAAACAGAAAAAATGGCTCTAATTTATAGTTTCTTAATTACGGAATTATTTAGATCTATGAAGTTTTCTGGGTTGTCTTCAATCTTTAACTTATTTTATTATGGACTTTTATTTTTCTTATTTATTGGTGGAGAAGATCTATCTGAAGGATTCAAATCGAAATCGTCTCCATTTTTTTAAATACTAGGCAATCTTAAATTCTCGCTCTTCTTGCTAATCTCATTTTATTGACTATGAAGCAAAGTTGAACTTAAGGATTTTCTGCCTTGTCTATAATTCTTGTTTTCTTGTGTATTTGGAACCATGCAACTATTATTCTGCTATTGAAGTAAATTGCTAGAATTAACTTTAAATATATCTTGAACTTTATCCTTATCAGGAATATTTAATAAGTTATTATTTTACTTTTTATTTTCTTAACTGGATTTAAGCTAAACAAAGCAAATGTCATTAGGTATATTATCTTCAGAATGTGAACTCTAATCTTCTCCATCAAGTTCTTAGATAACTTAATTTTTAATTGGAAAGTTGTTATTTTAAGGGAATAGAGATTTGTCCTTCCTGTGAATCATGGAATCCAAATCTTAAAATTGCTCCTTTACATCATCCAATTCACTTATTAATAAGATACTATTTTTATCAAATGATTTTATTATCTCTCTGCTTGGAAAGAATGCTTAAGATTAATTTTGTTAAATATAGGTAGAGGATTATTGATTATAATTTAATGTTAACTCTTTCAAAATTTCTGATTAATCCCCTAAAAAGTTATTTTCCTAAAACTCCTCACCTACCATTCCTATTTGGAATAGATATTGTCTACTATTGTTAGTCCTCTTCTAATTTCTTTTATCTATTGATAAATTAAGCTTATTATTACATCTAGTTCTTAATTAATGATGGTCAAACTAATATTTACTGATAATCTTTTCTTTATCTGGCTTGTAATGAAGGACATCGCATTAAAATATTAAATGTTCACTTGAATTACAGCAAAAACATTACAGTCCAATCAAACCATATTAATTATTGTGTAAGATTTAGTCCTTCATATAAGATGCTAGTTCCTAATTTAATTCTTAAACTTACTAAATCTTAACGACTACTTTAAATAGCTTCTAAGAAATCACTCCTACGAATTTTATATGTTTCAACAGGACCTAGACTTACAATTGTACTTGTTCTAGGGAGTCCAGTGAAAAATGATACTTCTCCAAATGTTTGCATTTCTCCTAATGTTTTAATCCCGACCTACTTTGTATTGTCACTCTAATAACACACTTTTACCTGCCCTCTTTTGATTAGATACATGGATTCGTCATCACTACAATTTTGTCTCAATATAATTTCATTTGGCTGAAAATACTGTAATTACATATTTTCTACTAATTTTTCCTAGATATTTTATGAAAATTAAGTCAAGACTAATATTTTCTTAAAATATTTAACATTCACAGTGTTCCAAATAGCTTTCTAAATTTCTTAATCAATGTACTTTATGGATTTGGAATCTATCATGAAATTCTATTGCTAAAAATCCTTTTTCATCTCAAATTTATAATTACTAAGTGCTTTTTTCATTAGATTTTAGTCAACCTAATGATTCAGCAGGTATGCTTTAAAATCAAAGTAGTTTTTTTTCAATAGGTATTATTGGACATTCTAATTAAAATAGAACAATATTTCTAAAATTAAACTTATTCTATTTATTGTAAAAAATAGCTAAACCAATAATGCCAATAACAATTCAAAATTTGTATCATATTCTAAATTACTAGAAAATGAAAAATATTGGCTTAAGTATGAATTCAAGTAGTTCAAGTAGGAATTAATTTGCAAGCCTATGGGATCAAACTGAATTTGATTTTAGTTGGAAATCGAAATTAAAGAAAATACATGACAATAAGATATCCCTTTAATAAATTACAATCCCAATCTAATGCAAAGGTGTTATGAGATCAAAGTATTTAATTTAATTAATCTTACTATTAACAGATTCAATGAAATCAAAGCCATCACAGAAATCGTAGAATTCGATTCACAAAATTATAGAATAAAGATAAACGATAAATATTATAATAAATCTTGAAATCCATATCTTCGAATATAATTCTATTATATTTTTCCTAAATGAGTTACTTCTACTCCGTTTTTGTAATAGCAAGTATTCAAATTTAAAACTGAGTTTAAAACAGTTATCGAAAACTGGATTATTAGTAAAGTTTAAATTTCAACATTGCTGGGATAAATTAGAATAAGGGGTGAAAATATGATAGTCGTTAGATAAGTGATTTGCATCAACAGTTTCCAAATTTGTCTAAATTTACACTGACTAGAAATAGGCACTGCAATATATTATTTTAACCTTTGAAAAAAGCTTTTGCTGTTAGTATTTTCTTTATGAATTGGATTTGAATATGTTTATAACAGTGTATTGACATAATGTTATTTTGTGAATAAATTATTACTAATTTTAATTTTCTCTACAAATTTTTATATAATTTAAGCCATTCTTAACTTTTGCTTCCTTTTTTTGACTGATGGAGAAGTTATTCTGCTCCTTTCCTATATAATTATTATAATATACAGCCAAAATAATCATCTATTATGAATTTTACTATTTACTTCTATTTGAATAGGAATCAAAAATCTAATGTTCTTTAATATCAAGATCAAATCCATTTAAATCATAAGTAGATGAATCTTTTGGTTAACAAGGATATTGCATAATAAATTAATTTGAGGGCATCTTTTAATGTGATTTCAAATTTGCATTGATGGGCGAGCGAGACTAGATTCTTGAAGTACTTGAACTCTAAAAATTTCCATACTCTCTAAACGAAGATTAATTCATGTTAATTTAAATTTATTTAATATGAATTTGCAAACATCTTTGTTGAAATATTTAAATTAAGACTGTTTGTAATTGAGAAAAAAAGACACTTCCTTTTGATAAGCTAATCGCGTAACAGACTAAAAGATTTCCATGGTTCCGATACTATTTTACAACGACAAGTGAACAGCCATTATAATAAACTGAAGAAAAGGCAATAATAAATAATGAGGCATATATTTTAAATAAATTTAATTCTTAATACTTTATAAATCATTCCTATACCTTTGTTGCCCAAATATCAACTAAATTTATACTAACCTTACAAATAGGACAAGACTATTTTAATTGAGCAATTTCACCACATGATTTGCAAAGCATATGCATACACTTTTGTATGATGACCTCTTTGAGTTATGTTTTGCATTCGCTACAACAAGCAGTGGTCTTGACTTTTTATAATTGTGCCTATTCAAAAATGGTGTCATCCTTCTTTAAAATAAGATAGCCTTTCACTTATTCCAATTGAGCAGGGTTGTTTAATAGAGTTTACTAGGATTCTATATTGGTTTCCAATTCGATTATCTTTTATTTCAATCTATCGATTTCAAGTAAGGATTCATCATTAATGAGCTTAGATTTTTATATTTTTTATGCATAACAATCTCTCTCAATTTTTGTAGTACTTTGTTCTGATAATAGCTTTTCATACTATGATTTATATAATTCTAATTGTTTAACTAATTCTCCATGATTGTAATTTACTTATAACTTTTCTTGAGAGTACTTTTAATTCAGTTGTGTTTAATTGGCTCTTTATTATTATAACTAATTGATTTACTCTTATTACTACCTTTCTTTTTCTTTGAATTAGATACGTTCATTTTCAAATTTAGTTTTTTCTGCTTATTTATCTTATATTAAAACAGCCTCATTTTTCTCCTTGATTGATAACTATTATTCAATTATCTTAGATTTAGCCATAACTTCTTCATAAATTTTAGAATTGTAATCAGTTTCATCCATCATCATCTACAAATGTCTCTTTTGGTCTTGAATTTATTTATCTTTTTTGCTGATCTCCTTCTCGAACTATTCAATCCTTTAATCCCTAGTCTTAATATAACCAATAAGTTCTTAAAATTTCTCCTTTAGTTGTGGTTAATGTCTAATAATAATTTACAAGGCTTCTTGAATGCATTCCTTGTGTTTATTATGTCTAAAAGTCAATTATTCAATATTTAATTCTCCTGGGATTCTAGCCATTAATCCTACATTTTTCTATGAATATCACAAATATACTAATACCATTTCTATTTCATTGTATTTATTTTAAAGTTCCTAGTATTATTTAGATAACTCATCCAAATTATTTCTTAGTTCTTTATTGGCTGATTTCAAAACATTATTTTCACCACTTTGAGCATCTATAATCTTTTATGATTGCTCATATCTTTCTTTCAAATTCTAATTATATCTCTCATTTTCATTAAAAATATTTTTGATTCCAAATTGCTAATCATTTTAACACTTCCTCAGTTGACAGTTATCTTATGTTAATTTTTGGATCTCAATTTCATAATTAATTTTCAATTAGTTTATGTCAAAATGTTTCGAATTAGCCATTTCTTAATACTAAGTTTATAAAACCTATAATTATTAAGTCAATTAAGAGTTCACATCTATGAGATTCATATTCTATGTTTGTAAAATACTAAAAGTTTCAGATTCCACAAATTAATCCTCTCTGTATTCATTACTAATTTCTAATTCCTTAATCTTCACTTGCTATTAAGTTACTTATTGTTAGTATTTTTTATTCTAGGTTTAAAGTATTTAATAATTATTTAAAATTTATTCTAAGTCCTTAATTTCAGTTTAAGAAAATGTAACATTCAATTGATCATCTTCTATGGCTGTCACCTTTATTTGTTTGCTCTTTAAAGTCTTTAACAATAACTGTTAAATTGCATTAATACTGTTATTTTAGGATTAATATTTTCTATCCAATTTGGTTAATTACAATTATCTGTCTTCACTATTGTCATACGACTATCTAACTAGATCTAACTGATTATTGAATCCTATTTATTTTATCTATGCACCACCACAAATACATTCATAATTTTCTTCCTCTTCATTCAATTTTTGGTTTATTGATTTGTCATTATAATTCATCAATACTCTTAGCCTTCTACTCAAGATTTCATTTTGCTTCTTGCTTTCTGCAATCAAAGATTACAACTAATAAATTGTCTAGAATCCAAGTTGACCATCTAAATCACTTAACTTCTTCTCCTTTATTTTTTAAATCTATTTTAAATTTTACTCTATATCCTGATTCTTTTTCACTAAATCTTTATTTGTGCTTATAAGTTTCTTCACATATTCCATATAATCCTACTCCTCTAAATCTAATAATTAGTTTGTTCTATCCTTAATCATCTCCATAAACTCACTGTATTCCAGAGATATCTCAAAGTAAATATTCTCAATTATTCTCAAAAATTGCTCAAATTTATGACTAATTTACTTTTTGAATTGTCCTTCAATATTATTACACAGCAAATATTGACTATTGAAGATCTTAAATAATACAATATCTTACATCATCCAAATATTAGAAAGCATTTAGATATTTATTTTCCAATAATCCCTTTTTCTTTACAACACTTTCTATTCTCAAACTCCTTTAAAGAAATCCTCGCCAAGCTACCTCTAAAAAACTAAAAAATTTTTAATGCCTTATCTCTCTCTCCACCATCTCTGTGATTATTGATTTTTGTTCCTTAATAGTTTTTTTTAAATAGTCCAATCTAGTTGCCAATGATACATTCTAAATTTTCAAGACACTTTCATCAAAACCCTATTTTGTATATTATTCATTCTCCTAAATTTGAGGCACTGTAGGTAAATGCAATTACTTTAGTTGAAACATTTTATTAAAATATAATCTACAAAATTAATATAAAAATTTATCATAAACTTTACATTGTATTTTGAATTTCAACTTCTATTTTTTACAAACATTTTATCTATATGCGTAATTATTATTACTAATTAAAGGATTGCTAAAATATAATTTAATATAAGGATTGGTGCATGGCAAAAAATTCCCATCGATCTAATAGCTCATTGCTATAAAATAGTATTAAAAACAATTTCCATTTCAAACATCCAGAGCTCTTCCAATC